AGAAGGAGAAGTAGGAGAAGGAGAAGGAGAAGACAGGAGAAGGAGAAGGAGAAGGAGTCAACGACTGTGACTTCTGGTCCAAAATTTTAAAGATGGCCAGAAGTGGTCTTTATGTCATTCTTATGGCTGGTGAAATAACTGTGCCAAAATCATGTGTATGATTTTTACACGTTCTGTTCATTTTACCTTGATTCTGACAAGCAACCACAGCCAACCAGCTAACAAGGCACACTTTGGACACAGAGGAGACCAAATGCAGACACTGAGATTGGGTAGTGCAAATCTGATACCACATTAGGAAAAAATCTCCAAGTGCGCACTTCACTGGTTGGAGTGGAAGCTTGTGTCCTCTTTTCATAAGAAAGGTGTCAATGTCAAGAAGTTTGATCTAAAACTACAATGCCAGGAAATGTAAAGTTCATTAAGATATAATACATTTATAATAACCAAATAATAATTCCAAAGTATAAGCTCTTAGTAACAGAACCTTAAAGTCAGGGAGACACTGGTTGAAACTTCTTGAGCTTCACTCTAATCAATGTTTAATCAATGAATAGAGGGACATTAAGCAAAAAGAATGTACCTTTTAAAAATAATACCTCTTAATACATTTGAATCCATTAATATTGTCTTACTACATCATAATTCCTCTAAACTTGAAGGATCAAAAACTTGAAATTAAAAACTTATCAATTATCTACACTAATAAAAGACAAACATGCAAATTGACCATACCTTCGCTACACCTTAAGCCATGCCCACCAGCCAATCAGAGCAACTATATGCAAATTAACCCAACCAAGATGGTGGCTGGCAGCCATGGTGCTGGAGCAAGCAGGAGGCTTGGTTGCCCCAATGATGGAGGAAGCCAAGCTTTCCAGCTGCCGCAGCCGGCTCTGAGCTCCACTCAAAGCAACAAAGTTTCAATTATAGAAGGTAAATAAACTCCAGATACCTGCTTTCAGCCGGCCGTGGCCACAGAGCTGGAGCGAGCAGAAAGCCTGTCCTGGCTGGCTCTGAGCTCCACTCCAGGCTACAAAGTTTCAATTATAGAAGGTAAATAAATCCCAGAATAAAAAAATAAAAAATAAAAAAAGGAGAGGCTGGGAGCTTCCATCAGCGGGGAGGCTTGGCCAGCCCGAAAACAGCCCTCAGCCTCTCACCCAGACTGGCCAGGCACCCCAGTGGGGACCCCCCCACCCTAAAGGGGGTGTGGCCAGCCTGAAAACAGCCATCAGCCCCTCACCCAGGCTGGCCACACCCTCATGGGGTGAGGGTCCCCACTGCGGGGGCTTGACCAGCCTGCAAACAGCCATCAGCCCTTCACCCAGGCTGGCCAGGCACCCCAGCGGGACCCCCACCCTGATCCGAGACACCCTTCAAGGCAAACCAGCCAGCCCCCACCCGTGCACCAGGCCTCTATCCTATATGATAAAAGGCTAGTATGCAAATTGATCCTAACAGCAGAACGACTGGGAATGACTGGTCACTATGACACACACTGACCACCAGGGGCCAGACGCTCAATGCAGGAGCTGCCCCCTGGTGGTCAGTGTGCTCCCACAGGAGGAGCTCTGCTCAGCCACAAGCCAGGCTGATGGCTGCCAGTACAGTGGTGGTGGTGAGAGCCTCTCCCGCCTCCTCAGCAGCACTAAGGATGTCTGACTGCAGCTTAAGCCTGCTCCCTGCTGGCAAGTGGACATCCCCCGAGGGCTCCCGGGCTGCCAGAGGGATGTCTGACTGCCAGCTTAGGCCCAATTCCCCAGGGCGTGGGTCTAAGCCAGATGGTCATCCCCTGAGGGGTCCCAGACTGCAAGAGGGCACAGGCCAGGCTGAGAGACACGCCCCCCAGTGCACAAATTTTTGTGCACCGGGCCTTTAGTTATATATAAATTAATATCTTAATTTTATAACACCTTCAAAATTTGTTAATGTTGCAATGAATATCTGACACAGCAAAAAAGCAGACATGAGAATTATAAAACCAAGGTATTTCTTGAGCTCACCATGCATGTTTTGTCCATAGAACCAGTCAATATCATAGAGCAATCCCAGTTGAATAAGGCACTGCTAATCTCGGCACAATGCCCAATTAGGTTGCACACCTTCCTGCAAAATGGAAATGATTCAAAGATGCCTGATGTCAGCATATGTGCACAGTTAATGATGGCAAACCTATTGATGTAAGATATAAATTCCAGTTTTTACAAAATAAAGTCTTTGATGACAAAACAAAGATGGCGTTACTGAAGCTCAAAAAGTCAACTACTAATTTCATTTCAACAAAAAATATACTTAAATTTTAAACCATCAAAGATAGCAATATTATTTAAGATAAGACCAGAAAGGCATGGGTAAAAAATAAAGGTAGCCTGAAATTCTGGAAGTGTTCTTACACCAGATGAGTGAAGCCCTGAAACCACCTGTCAGTGTCTGCAGGGCCCCTCCTGCTCTCTCTTGTAGACTCCACCCTGAGTACCCCTAATGATTAACCCTATAAAAAACACAGACAAGTCTCAAGAGTGGAGTTTTATAACACAAATAGGCTAATCTAGTTAACTTCTTAGCAACTAGAGCCAAAGATGATTAGGAAGGAAATTGAAGTTCCGGTACCAAATTAAATTTAGGAAATTAGATGTGATTTTATTTACTCATGATATCCATGCCTACCATAATGACAAGCCATTGAAATTTGATTACTCGTACAAAGGATAAATAATAGCTATATAGCCAGGCTATTACTAATATTCCCCTTTTATGTTGCTAATTGACATTTTTTATCGGAATTCTGAGAAATCACATTATTTTTTATCAAAAATATGGTTAAAGAATGAAATACATAAGTGTATCTTATTCTTATAGAGTCTGGAACACAGTTAATACATTTAAGATTAAACTAATAAATAACAAAGATTTGTTTTCTTAACCCTCTGATCCAGATGAAAAAATTCTTAAAAATTAAGAATACTGGTTCTGGCTGGGTAACTCTCTTAGTTAGAGTATTGTCCTGATACGCCAAGGTTGTAGGTTTGCTTCCCGGTCAGGACACATACAAGAATCAACAAATGAATGCATAAGTAACTGAAACAACAAATCATTCTCTCTCTCTCTCTCTCTCTCTCTCTCTCTCTCTCTCTCAGAAAAATCAAGCAATAATTTTTTAAAAATATATATATAAATAGAATACCTTCCAGTCGCAGTGTCCCACACTACAGCTGTGTGATCAAAAGACCCCGTGATGATTCTGTCTCCTGAGGTGTTAAAGGACAAGGAGATGATTTCAGCTGAATGTCCCTGAGAGAGAGCAGATACCGTCATGCATACTTTTAGATAAAGCAAGTACTAGAAATGCACAATATTAGCACCTAAAAGAAAATGCCAGAAAAGACAAAGCTATACATATAGAGGGGGAAACGATTAGTGGCCCACTGGGGTAGGAATGGGAAGTGAGTACAAATGGGCATGAGGTGGCTTTTGGGGGTGATGGAAATGTCCTAAAACTAGATTTGGGTGATGACTACACACTTCTTTAGGTTTACTACGAATGGACAGACACTTAAAGCAACTCCATTTTCACTCAGTAAAGTTGTTTGCTTGCTTGCTTGTTTGGTTTTGAAAGGAAGAGGGCAGGTTTTGGGAAATCAGAGGGCTATATGCTTCATGGGCTAATAATAGGTGATGAGTAAAAGAAAAAAGCTTGTGAAGTTAATAACTTTTAAAAAAGAAATTTCTATGATAATTGAATATGAATTGATCAATAATTGTGTGGCCTTTGGCCTGACTTTCACCTGGTGACAGTCTAGGTCCAAAGACTCAAACTGAGACCATGAGAAAAGCCCCTCTCGGCTGTAGATTCTGCTGGGAGAAGATCCCTCGTTTTCCTAATTATTTTAGTACATTCATGTAATTACTTTTCAAAATAATACAAAAGTTCATTTACAAATTAAATTTCTGGTTCATTCCACATAACAAAAATCAAATGTAGTTGAACATTAAAATTCTGAACACGCAAAACAAGTGTGTTCTTCTCTGGCAGGAGCTGGGTGTGCAGAGCAGGGCTCATCCCTTCAAATGTTTGGAAGGGAGAGGCAGAGACCCGCAGAAATGATAACGAAGACCAGAAAAATAATACTTATATTAATAAGGCCAGGCACTCTGAGTTGAGAAAGAAAAACTCTTAGTGTTAGTTAAAAACAGTGTTGTTATTTTTCCTCTTATTTAGTCTTTTTTTTTTTTTACTTTTTTAAAGAAAAAGCTCTCCTAGGAAAGGGACCCTATATTTTTAGCACATCTATAATTTGAAAGGATGAGAAAACTGGATTTGCTTTTATCCAGTTGTTCCTACTAATTGCCGTAGATAGCCGCCTTATTTTTGTTGGTTAGTTTCGGGTCCATGGAAAGGAGTGGAGGGTAGCAGGTGACGCGAAGGTGCTAGATCAGCGGTTCTCAACCTGTGGGTCGAGACCCCTTTGGCGGTTGAACGACCTTTTCACAGGGGTCGTCTAAGACCATCCTGCATATCAGATATTTACATTATGATTCATAACAGTAGCAACATTACAGTTATGAAGTAGCAACGAAAATAATTTTATGATAATATGAAAATAATTTTATGATAATTTATGATAATTTATGGGTCACAACATGAGGGAACTGTATTTAAAGGGCCAGAAGGTTGAGAACCACTGTGCTAGACTGTGGTGATGACAAACAGGGGCCCCTGTGCGGACACACCACCAGCATTCACTCTGGGAAGAGCCCCTGGGCCTGCTCCCCTCCTGCCACTTGCCTCTAGTCATTTTGGACTTTGTGATACAGAAGGCTGGAGGGTCATGGAGAAGCATGCTAACTAACAGTCATTCCTTTGAGAAACTTGCTAGAAAGTTTCCCAGTTCTGCCTTTTCCTAAAAGTGCCAGCCTCCACCTACTTTGCTTTTAGCCAAATAGATGGCAATTGTTTTAAGCTATAATAGGTGTGGCTTCCAGGCTGAAGTGAGTCAAAATAAACCTGGCTTCCCCAGTACATCAGCCAAGTCTCAGAGAACAGCCATCACCTTCTCTAGAAGATTCGCTACTGATACACCAATGAGAACACTCTCTCGCTCCAGTCTAAAAACCATTGTCTACTTAGAGCTAATTTTGTAATACAAATAAAAATAAAAACAAACACAAACGATGGACTTCTCCTAAAGAATGGTGATGAAAATGGAAAACTCTAAAAAGTATTATTAACACTGATAACATACGGTTAAAGTGAATACTTCCTCTCCATTCTGAATGTCCCACAGTTTGGCCATTGTGTCCATACTTCCCGTAGCCACCAATGTGCTTTGAGGATTGAATGATAAACACACCTGGATTACATGAAATGAAAAGGGTTTTAGAAATATAGCATTTTACATTGTTAATTTCATAAAGAAAAGCTTCAAGATGAATTTTGATAAATATAAATACATTTTACACCTAAAATAAGTACCTTGTTTATTTTTACTTAAACTATCACTTGTTTCATAGGGTGCCAGTTATCTCACTAATTGCTTTAAGATGTATCAAAGAATTGCTGCTGGGGTCTGGCCAATCGGACTGAACATGATTGGCCAAGGGCAAAGGCACAGTAAAGGAAAAGCTGTTTAGAGTATCAGACTATTTATACAAATTTGAGTTCTAATGACATCTAGAAAACAATCAGTCTAAATATTTTACATGATATAGAAAATTATTTTGAAAACTATCATAAGAATTTCATAAAGAACTAATCAAGTCAGTTCTTTAAAGAAATATAAATGAAAAAAGAAAGAAAAAAGAAAAGAAGGAAGGAAGGAAGGAAGGAAGGAAGGAAGGAAGGAAGGAAGGAAGGAAGGAAGGAAGGAAGGAAGAAAGGGAGGGAAGGAAGGAAGAAATGAAAAAGAGAAAATCAGTTTGACTACTGTACTCATGTACTTCTTATATTATGTGTCTACTTAGTCAATTCAGGAATCTACAAGATATTAAAATTAGAGTAGTTTGTAAATTATATCAATGCCACTACACAAAATTTATAGAGAATAAAAATACTGGTTAGAATTCTTTAATTAATTATAAAGATAGAACCACCACTTTTATAATGGAATATTAAAAAGAAATAGTAATATGTGTCAGTGCAGGTTCATTATTTGTAAACAATGTACCACTCTTATGCAAGATATTAATAATGGGACAAGCTATTTGCATGGGGGTGGGGGAAGGGAAGAGGACTGGGAGTATATGTGATATCTCTCTACCTTCCTCTCAATTTTGCTATGAATCTAAACTGCTCTAAAAAAAATGAAATCTATCAAAAGAAAAGAAAGGAAACATAAAACAAAACAAAGAACAACAACATGAAAAATAATAAAATAAATGTACTCACTATTTCTGCTGTATGACCCCTAAAGATATGGTAACATTTTCCCGTTTCTACACTCCACAGTTTACAAGTCTTATCAAAGGACCCAGTGGCAATTTTGTCACTAGGATAAAAAGAATAAATAAATATGTCGATTTTGAAATTTAATTCAACCACAGTATGTGACACACTGAATTAAGATATTAATACACAACTCTCTACCTGCTCAGAAATTTACTTCAATTTTAAAATAAGCAGCAATCTTATATCTGCTTCACTGGTAACAGAATAAAGGTCTAATTTTTAATGGCATCAGTTTGTTTCATTTTAAATATTTTACATTAAAGATATATGTTTAGGATTAAAAATACTTTTCAAATTAGTACAATTGTAATAGTGGGGAATTGTAACTCACCCCACCATTCTTTTGACATTGTTTCTATAAATGCTGGGTCTGACTACTGTGTAGCTTGTAGATAAACAGCATCCTATATAATAAAAGCTTAATATGCTAAGTGTCCGGTCGACTGGTCGGCCGTTCAACCAAAGGGTAATATGCTAATGATATGCTAAGGCTGCTCAACCACTCACTATGATGTGCACTGACCACCAGGGGATAGATGCTCTGACTGGTAAGTTAGCTTGCTGCTGGGGTCTGGCCAATCGGACTGAGCATGATGAGCCAGACACGCCCTGGAGCCCTCCTGTAGTCCCTCCCTGGCTGGCCAGCCTCTCGTGTGCGCTTCCCCCTCCCCCCCCTCCCCCGATTTGTGCAACGGGGGGGGGTCTCCTTGGGCCTTGGCCTGAACCCCTTTTTTTAATCCTGGGGCCCCCTTGGGGATTATAAGAGAAACCACTTTCAACCCTGGTTCCCCCCAAGGCCAAGGCCGGGGGGGCCCCCCACTGGGTGCAAGAAATTCATGCCCCCGGGATGCTTATTGTTTTAAAAAAAAGAATCCCTAGGAACTAACCTTCAGAAGAATGCAGATGCTGACTTTTCCTTTCATTCCAAGTTTTAGGATAATTGCTGACCTTCACTGTAAGACCAGGATGGTGCAGAACCAGGATGACAAAGACACGTGATGCACACCAGAGCTTTCGAGGTCCTTATTAGAATTGACTCAGTTGGCCTGCACATAGAGAACTTTTCAACTCCCCCCCCCACCTTGATCTCTTTGTTCTGCTTTCCCTCTCCCTCCTTATAAAAACATCTGCCTGCACTGAGATGTGGATATGTGTTTTGGACAAGAGTCCCCCATTTTCTCAAGTGAACAGCACTTGAATAAATCTCTTTCCTTTTTCACCTGCCCCTGTCTCACAAGTTTGGCTTTCATGGTGGCATGCAGCCAAACTTACTAGTAGGTTCCAGTTACTCAATGAATATGATAAAAGACTTAGTTTAGAAAATTACTAACAAATGAAAATTAATAATCCTGTATAATAAAAGCATAATATGCTAAGTGTCGGACTGATTGGTCTACCACTCAGTTGACCGCTCGACCAGTCGCTATGATGTGCACTGACCACCAGGAGGCAGATTCTTCGATTGGTAGGTTAGCTTGCTGCTGGGGTCCGGCCAATCAGGACTGGGCGAGAGGGCCAGACATGCCCTAGAGCCCTCCCACGGTCCCTCCCCAGCTGGCCAACCTCCTGCAGTCCTTCGCTGGCCGGCAGACCCCCATCGGCCCTGATCAGGACTGGGCTAGACGACCCTGATTGGCCCCAATTGTTGGCCAGGCTGAGGGACCCCACCTGTGCACAAATTTGTGCACCGGGCCTCTAGTGTATAATAAGCTGTAGAAACATAAAAAAAAAAAATTCTGTTGGTAGGTCTCCTTAAAAGGATAGCATTGAATTTAAAAGAGAAATGATAAAATATAAATCCAATTAACCATATGTCTAGATAAGGTTTTAAGAAGTTAGACAATGGGCATCTTTTAGGGAAAATAAAACCTGTATTATTCCAGTTGTAAGGACTTTGAACAAGAAAGAAGGTTTAGAGAAGGATGTTATCAAGAGTTCAGTCCCTTTCAAACATGAGGATCCCCATCTTACTGTGCAGCAGGGCTACTGTCAACACTCAACAGGTCAGAATAGATTAGCCTATTTTTTACTCTTGATTGTGGAACTAAAACCTTCGCTTTTACCCCTCACCCCATCTGTCCTGTATAGGAAATCATCAAAATATTCACCCAATTGGGTTGTCATTTATAATGTAAGCTCATTGTTAAAAAGTGTGAGGGCTCTTAAAATCCAAAATACATATCCCAAGCAAATCTAAGTGCTCAACACAGTTGCAGAATTTCTACTTGCTCATTCTAACACAGTGCCTTGCTTCTCTGCTTTGTTCTCAGGCCACCTACATAGTATCTCTGTGGTCTCTGATGCTAATGGAAAGCAAGGCCCTCTCTGTGATGCTACAGGGACAGCTTATCCTGGGGAATACACACCACCTCCCCCACAAAAGTCCTAACGCACAGACTGTTTCTGCACCCCAGTCTCTGCACTGGCTCTCTCCTGTGACATCCACTCTCAGATCTTTTCCAACAGCAGTTGTCTTTCAAATTCTGCTCAAGATACCTTGA